GGGATGTTACAATTTAATTCATTTAAATTTAATAGTTTTGTTTCTCACCAATAAGAGGGTGACATGTGTCATCCTCTTGTATAATTATACATGACACAACTTGGGTTTGAAAGAAATGCCTACCAACCACTAAACCAAGCAAATTACATGGTTTGGGATAGACTAGATATAATATACATTTTGTATATTAGTTTAAACTTAAATTCCTATATTTGAACTTAAATATTTTTATTCTTATTTTTAACTTAAAATGCATATTTTATTTTTATTTAAAAGTATATATTTTATTTTTTTAATTTTAAAATATATTTTATTTTTATCTTAATTTTAAAATATTATAAGAATAAAATATAAATATTTAATTTAAAGTAAGAATAATTTTTTAAAGTCAATAAAAAATTAAAATATATTTTTAAGTTAAAATAAGAATAAAATATATTTTTAAGTTAATATAAGAATAAAATATATAGTTTTAATGTTAAGATATATAAAATAACAAGAATTTTTAGACTAGTATTTAATATATATAGCATATGTAGTGCATTTTGAACTAAAAGGTTTGCTTGGTTTAGTGGTTAAATAGCTTCTTAAACTCCATAATGGTCCTATGTTTGAACTCTTGCTTTACTTATTTTATATCATTATTTTTCTTGCCACCCGAGGGTGACATGTCAATCTCTGATTGGTGTAAAATAAAATTGTTAAATTAAAATAAATTAAATTCTCCAATCGACTGGTAACATGTGGCATAATCTAATTCAAAGATTAAATTTATTTTAATTTATTAAAATTAGGACTAAATTGATAGAATATATAAGTAACAATGATCAAATGTGTAATTATACTAATTTTATTAACTACCACATTAGCGTTTCCGTTAAATGTTAATGACAAGTGGTATGATTGAATGCATTTAAATAGTTGAGTGACCTTATTAACAAAAATTTAAAAATAGTGGTCAAAATAAAAAAGGGCTATACTTAGATGGTCACTAGTATAGTTTACCCCTTAAAACTCTGGTTAATGTTAGGATAAATAATCTACTTGGCCACGTATCTATTCCAAGGTTTCTATTTTAGCTATTAAATTATTAATTTTTTTTCCAAAGCATGCTTAATGTTATGCTTCGTTCCTGTTTTCGTCACACATTATTAAGTTTACTGCTGACTTAATGAAAATGGTGATGTTTCATGGTATAATAACATTTTAGTTTCTAAAATTTATATATTCTTTTAAAGTGATTTTAATTTATAATAATTCAATAAATTTTTAATATTTAAAAAGCCTATCAATTTACTCTCATCCCCACCACTATAACCTTGGCCACTGGAATCCACCATTGCATCATTATCCAAAAACCTACCTCAGATGTTAAACATTCAGGGAGGTTCTAAAGTTAAGTAGGATTTCATCATGATAGTTAACAAGGGTTTTTTCTTTTTCTTTTAATAATAAAGCAGTCGTACAAATAACGATTAATCCAGTGTAATATGAACAAATCAAATATATTGAGATAGACTATTACTTTTTAAGAAATAGAATTTAAGAGGAACTTATCCAAACAAAGCTTATCATAACTACAATAATAAGCTAGCCGATGTCATGATAAAGGTGTTAGGTTCACAACAACATATCTACTTAATGTCTAAGTTTAAGGTGAAATTTGTAAAAATGTTTTTGAAACTCGAACTTGAGGGGAGTGTAGAAGTTAATTAGTTTCATTTATTAAGGTTGATGAAAGGTAATTAACAAATAGATAGATTATTGCTGAAAGATAATTAATAAATAATAGACGGTTGGTGAAAAATAGTTAGCAAGTAAATAAAAATTAGATATTAAAACCAAGGGTAAAGTACATAAATGGTCCCCCGACTATAGGGTATTTCTTTGTTGTGTCCCCCGACTATTAAAAGTTACAAAATGATCCTTTGACTATAGGATATTTCTTTATTGAGTCCCCAAACTATTAAAAATTACAAAATGATCAATCGATTAGTCATATATTCCAAACTTGATTAGGAAAATCCGTGAATAACTCAAATACAAGCCATTGAGTACTGCTTAGCTGTGGTTGCTGCAATAGACTGAGATTTATCCACAGAAGAATTTATGGCCATGTACTATCCAGTAGCTTATAAGTTTATTCAAAAACATTTAGAAAGCATGGTTAAATTTCATAATTTCCTTTATAAAATACGAACTCATTAGACATTTCTTAATCTCTTCGCTTCATCCATCATGTCATATGTAGTCGCTTACCAACAAATGGATAACGTCTCATCTATGTAACCTATATAATAATACTTTTTAGAACTTTCAAACTGGAAATTCAAATGGAAGATTATTGAATTTAACGTCAATATAACATGCCATGATATTAGCATAAATCAAGTGATCTTAGTGGTAAAAGAATTGTTATTATTTCTTGAGGTTTCGGGTTTAAATATCAAAAATGTCAAATAATTTAGAGTTATCTTTAAACAAATATTGCCTTATAATTACCTCAAATTAATAAAATAAAAAAACATGGCATGATCTTATAACCTAATCAATTACATACGGTTAAAATGAAAAATAATTACGTTTTTTAGATGAATACAACTCACACCAGTTAAGATATTCTTCCAATCAAATATAATGTAAAGTCACCCATATTTGATTTGGTCTTGGTATGAAACTGCTATCAATACTTAGCTGTACAGTCTTATTTAATCTTTCCCACAACTTGGGCTAATGTCGCCTAAAATATATTATATTATATGTTTTTTACTCTGTAAAGATGTCGGCAGAGGGCAATGTGTATTGTCTGCTATCAACATTCTGTTTCTTTCCTTCTCAACTAATAATACGAACACATAAGCATTAATCAATTCGTTTCTTAAAATACCCATAATATATAACTATAGTTTTCTTGTAGGTGGACGAAAGTGACTCCCAACTTATAATTTTGGTTAATGAGACCAGGTCAGTGCCCATCTCAGCGCCACCTTGAACCTCAGCCAAAATTTTCCCTCTATTGCTTTCAAATGTCACTAATAGTCAATTTAAATAAATGTAGCTAATAATCACCCCTCTCGTGTCCATACTCTATTGCAAGTCAAATAGTGTACGAAGAAAATTTTCTTTCTATATTTTAATAATACGGTCTGTCTAAGAAGCTTCTTTTTCTTTCAAATTTACTCCCCTCACATCAAACTATAAGAAACTAAAAGAATAAAAAAACATGAAAGAGTGTGGTTAGTATTATACTTGTCACCACATGTATGTGACAATATTTTTCTTGTTCATGACTAACTTTTCGAATGTATACCTTTGAAAAGATTGTGCTCACTCATGGTCACTCTTTCGATTGTATGCAGTATTCAAAAACATTGTTTTTGTCTATCCATCCAACAGTTGAGGAATGGGACAATAATTATCAAAACTGAACTCAAACTACTTGATCACTTTCATGATCAGACAAATGAGATAGATCCCATGATGTTCTTAAGTCATCACATCAAACTTATTAGCATATATCTTATTTATTCACTTACCAAAACCCATCATGTGGCACCTAAGAATAATGTTCATGACAATATTTATTCCTTTTGAGATATGGTCTTTGTTTTTGTTCTCCATGAACTTTTAAACATCTAATCCAGCCCTCTTCGTCCACATTAAAATGAATCGTTATGAACCACTAACATATAGGATTTGAAATTTTATGTTATAAATTAATCTTGATCAAGTAGTTATTTATCTCTTATTTTACATATTTTAGGTTAATTTTGAATTAAAAATAAATAAAATTACAATTGATTAATCAAATTTATACACTAATTACTATTTGACCTTTTGACTAACATCGTTAAATTAAAGTATATGGTTAAATATAAAATGTATTTTTTAAGTACTGCATTGATATTTTGCATTAATTCAAAGACTATAAAATGCATCATCCCCAGAAATATGAACGAATCAAACAAAAGCTTACTTATTTTACACTTAATTTTAGGCCTTGTTTGATAACCTATTGAAAAAGTTCAATCAAATGAACATTAATATGTTTAATGATTTAATTTTTAAATTTGTTTAATGATCTAAAATAAAAAAACTATTTGTGATGCCTTTCCAATGACAAAGTGTGGAAAATTATGCGTAGATAAATGCACGCTTATTGGGAAAAATTTCTACATATTTTATTTCTTTATATTATTAAACTTTTACATTTATAATTTTTTAATTATATCTAGTAATTATTTTTAATAAAATATCAAAAAAATTATATACTTTAAATTAAACACTTAAATTTTAATTTATCAAACAAAACTTTAATCCTTATCCCTCTACTAATGTCCCAACCGGTTCCCCTTTAGCCCCTCTACTATAATATTAGGCAAACATTAGTTACAACAAATAAATGGATTTAATTAACTCCATGCAAGTGGTAAGATCATTAGAGTTAATTCCATGGTTAGGTACATTGTGGAGAATTTTAGTTTCATTCAATTTAGAGGGTTCTTCCCCCATAATTGTTCTTTTGTGGGAGCCCTACCATGCATGAACTCGATGTGAGGGATAGATTATACCACTCAATGATCAATTTAGATGTATTTCTTAAAGGATAGATCCATGAACTACGTACTTTTAAGACTGTTTTGAAGCCAATAATAACAAGGATGGATCCAAGGGGTGGGTGAAGACAATGTCTCTTGAAAAATTTAAATTTTTATGTATTTTAGATATTTTTTTATTTTTTTATTAATTATCTATTTTTTTTCTTTCTAAAATTTTGTAAATTTATCTCATAACATAAAATCTTATGTAATATAAACAACTAATTCATGACTGGGTGAAATAGCATACATTATAACAATCAAGAGATGAAGACTTTTTTTCGACATAAATGTAAACTACAATAACAAAAGAGTGTAGTCTCTTTATGCTTGAGCATGGACTAAATATGAGCAGCATATATTTAATAAAGTAATCAAGCGTCGATGATCTTGATGTATGATCTAAGGAACAGTGCTTTGCTCCAAGGAGGCGAGTGTACCGGGACTGAGAATGGGGAAAGCGCACCAATTATAAGAAGATGGCGACATGTTCAATCCGAGTGAATTCGATGTTATCGTATTCATGGAATTATTAGAGAATATCAGGTTCTGTGATGTGGTATGAATATGATGATCTAATCCCGAAAACAGATTCAACGGTGCAGAAACTTCAACCCTAGACAACGGCGATGCTGCCACGTGAAGAGGCGGAGGGGCTACTCCTTGGAGACGCTGATGATGATGAGGCAACTCGAACTGAGTTGTTGGCGTTAGATTATGAGTTTGGGGCATGAACTCAGGTGAACCGGTTAGCTTTTGAACCAAGTCACGGAAGTTTCTGGGGTCGACCGTGTAAACCTTGGGTGGGGTGGGTGGAAATGGTGCGATTGGCTTCTTCCAGGGCTTTGACAATGGCTTATTCACGGAATGAAGTGATCCATGAAATGAAGAAGCCTGTGGAGCCTTCATAGCCGAAGAAGAAGAGTAAGCTTCCATAGCTATTGTTTCTTAATAGAAAAAACTATGGAGTCCTCCGTGCAAATTGCCGAGCTTTCTCGAATGAAGCTGATAATATGATAGAGCTGAAATGTTAGAATGTGGTTACTCGGATTTATATAGAAAAAAAGGGGACGAAGATAACACAAATGGGGACAAGAAAATAATTGAAGAAATTAGAAGCAAACAACGGTGGGACGAATCTGCTGGGGCTGTGGGTCTCATGATCAGCGGAAATTCAAATGCTCTTTCGTCAGCAGCCGGCTAATGGTTACAAACTATATAGGCTGCCAGGTCAAGGTGCCTGACTTTAGACCAAAATTCTCTTCATTATAAAAAAAAAGGAAAAATGTTTAAATAATCCTCTGTTTCGGGCCCATTCGTGCGTGCATTACTGTTCGGAAGACAAGCTTTGAAAATGGTAAACATACAAAAGAAGTTATTAAAGATATTAGTTTCATAAATATGCCCCCTCAATCTTTTCATTCTTGCAATTCAACTTATTGTTTTACTTTATTTAAATAAAGCACCATTGCTTATTTTAAATTACTATGTCATGTTATCTAACTGTTTTTTTCTTTTATACAAATATTTATGTTTCTATATGCAGTTTCACTAGGATTCAACTATCAATATGCATGAACCTAACGAATTAACGATCTTAATAGTTAAAGAGATGATTGTTATCCTTAAAAGTCATGAGTTTACGTACCAACAACTGTAGGATATTTGAGTATTTATTGTCATATAATTGAGAGTTCTTAAAACAAATACAATCACTTGTAATCACACTAGACTAATAAAAAAAGTTTAAGTAACACTAGAGGTTTTTGAGATGGTAAGTTTGAATATGCTCAAATAATGATTTAAGAACTTAAGAGAGATTATTGATAATTTAGATATTAATTTTTAAAAATTATAATTATCAATTCTAAATATATTTTTGTTGTAATTATTGGTAGAATTATAAAGCTGGAGCTTAAAGAATCATTATTCAAGGTTAATTCCAAAAAAAAAAAGTTGAAACTTAAAGATAAAAGTTTTTTTTTTTTGAAATTAATTGAAGGACTAGTTAAAAATACGCCCTATTATTTGTGATAACTCGCGAATTGATAGCCAACCGTGAGAATAAATTGAAGGAAATAACGGGAGGAGGCATTATTCTCTGGAGCGGATGGAATAGCCGCCTCTTGTTTGACTTATCTACACACTCACTAACATCCTAACCTATCACACGTGATACCTCGTCTTCCTCTTTTATTGATATATCTTTTATCCAAATAAAATAAATAATTTATCTAATATTTTATTAGTATACTTTACATTTTTCACCCGAATATTATTTCAGTTTCATTATTTTAATAATTTTCTAAGTTAATACTTACATCTAAAATTCGCTCTTAATGTTAAAAAGATTTAGTTAAAAATATATGCATACTGTTTTCGTTACATTTTTAGATATCTATTGTTAAAAAAATCATTAATTGACACATCTCACATTAAAAAAATTTAAATAAAATTTTATTTTTAAAAAATTAAAAAATATATATAAATGTGACACATGCCACTTAACGAGTTTTTCTAGCGATAGACACATAAAAATGTAATGGATAAAACATTATGCACTTAATTTTAACAACAACAAAAATTCTTTAGGCCCCAAAAGTCAATATGAGATATAGTTTAGAAACTTATTTTTGCATTAAGCCTTATTACTAATATCAACATGGATCGTTCTATTTAAAATTTTTAAATGTCTATATATTTTAAATATTTTCTTTATATTTTCTATTGAAATTCTATCTATTATTGCCTCATTAAAATTTTATAAATTTGTCTTTCCTTCAAATTTTATAAGTTCGCTCCCCCAATATAATATCTTACGTCTGTCCCTAAATATTAACTAATATAATAAATTATATCACAAATAAGTATTTAAAGTGTACTCACTTTTTTATTTAAGTACCTAAAGTATATTTTGGTCAAAATAAGTACCTACGGTTGTAACACCCTCAATTTTATTGTTTTAAATAATTTTGAGGACCAAATCGTAAAACTTTAAACCTTGGGGTTAGTTTTTAAAGCTTCTGAAAATTCAGTGATCTAGCTACATATTTAACCCTTCTTTGTTTGCAAAGAAATAGTAATAATAATAATAATAAATAATAATAATAATAATAATAATAATAATAATAATAAAATGTGTATGTGGTTGAGATTAAACATTTGACCTATTAAACCATCACCTTAATCCTTAATCGTGTAACCTAGACCACTGTAGTTAATAGGTTTAGGTGAAAATATCTTTTATTTCTCTGGTTTGGGATTTTAAATCCCTAAAATTCGAAACCAATTCCCCAAATCATGAAAATCCCCCAAGCTCTCACTAACCCCAATCATCGCCCCTTCATTCACCGATCTCTGACCGACGGTGGTGTGCACAGCCACCACCACCTTATTCCCCGTCGTCCCCCGGTCAAAAGCCCTCTGTCACTTTTTTTGATAACCACCGTCGATCGTCATAAAAGGCCCCAAGAAAGTTTTGTTGACAGCTAAGAACACATGTTTCTGTTTCTGCTTGATTCCGGCCACCATAGGCGACCGTAGATTGCGTCGTCACTGTCAATCGACTTAACATCCCACATCGAGCAAAACCCGATTGACATCTCTCTGTCTAAGCCCACTGTTCGTCATAAATTCACTGATAAAGCCTCGATGGAGAACTAAACCCACTGTTTTCGCGTTTTCACGTCGATCTTGTCGTCGGTTGGCCTCACTGCCATCGTCATTGGGTTCCCCATTCCGTTTCGACCATAACTCAACTGGTATTGTCCCATCTGTTGCTTCCCCCGCCATCCGCCGTCCGCCGTTAAGGGTAAGAGTTTGTTCTTTCTTCGTTAATTTCTATTGATTTTGGTTGATTTATGGATTGATTCAAGTTGTTTCTGGTGAATGGTGTCATTGGAAGAAATCGACCGCCCCTCCCTGTCTCTGTCTCTGATGCACGCGCCGCCAAGTGCTACCGTCGCGAGTGGGCATTATTTCTGCCGAGTCTTTTAGATGACTGAGTCAACTCACCTGAGTTACCGAGTCAACTCGCTAAGTTGAACCGCCTAAACCAATCTATTTTTTAGCCAAGTCGAGCCGTTAAAGCCTTTAATTCGAACTGTTTAAGCTTCTAAGCTGAGCCGGGTTGATTTAGACGTTAACCAGTTGACTTTAACTTTGACCAAAAAAGTCAACTTTTTGAAAAAATCCTCTTTTAAGTTTTTCGATGTCCTGAGTCTGAATCCGAAGTCTGTTTCATCAAATTCAAACTTGGCAAGCTATTTTTTAGTGTTTTATCTTTCGATTCGAATAATGTTCCCGATTAAGTTTCGTTTCTAACATAAATTCTTTTGCTATGTCACCGAGATATTATAGGACGTCGAAATAAAGTGTGAGAGCATTCGAATGGAGTTCAAATGACTGACCTTTGTTGCTCGAAAATACACTTTAATTGACTAATGCATGATTTATAATATTTAGTCAAGTAAATCCTGATGAATATTCTTAAATTCGTACTGAATATAGTAAAAGGACATTAAATTGGTTAAGACTCGAACTGAGTATGATATAAAGTTGGTATACTGAATAAGACTCGGATAACTTGCATAAGAAATTGAAAGAATGATAATAAAGAAATTCAAGATCAGCAATCAACCTTAGGATCTGTAAATTTCTATTATTTTCTTTTAAGGTTGAGTGCCAAGAATACTTGGATAAGATATTACAAAAATAACCCTATGGAGTAAAATTATGAAAATGCCCTCGTGCTGCAAAAAGACCAAAATTGCTCCTGATAGTGAAAAATAACAATGAATAATTGACCAAATTACTAGAAAAATTTCATATGTTTGGATTGAACAGAATTACAAAAATGACCAATGTAACACCCCAACCCATATCCGACCCGAATACGTGTCCGAGATGTCACATTGACTTTTAAAACCTTTATTCTTGTAAAATAATAGAACATTTGAACTATTTTTAAGAAAATATGATAATATATTGTTGAATCATGTTTGTTATAACCAATTTAAGAAAATATATGTTTTATGAACAGTAAAATACAGTATGAACAGTGAACAGTACCTTATGAACAGTAGTGAACAATGTCATGAACAGTGCCCAAATGTTAAAAATTTCCAGAATGTTAGAGGGGAACCGATTCCCCTGTTACAAGGAACCGATACCCTGCTACAATACTGCTACAGTACTTCCGTAAAATACGTATAAATTCATAAAAATCCAAGGTTTCATCATTATACATTTAAAACATTTCCAAAACTCGATCAGAGCGTATATAATACAAATCCTTTTTATTTCATGCCAACTAAATTCTTTCTAACAAAATACATATAATTTGATCTACATTTCTGATCTGATCTTCGGTAAGGAGAATTGACCTGTCTTGCTTAACTTCTATATTTCTTCTCTTGGAACCTACGCGTGTGAAACAATCACGCTAAGTCGTTGACTTAGTGAGACATATAAAACATATAATAAAACCATAAACATTTCATATAACAAAATGCATACATGCATCTATACCATCATTATCATGATCGTGTACTTATCTTTTCTGTGTACCATATAACATCATATAATTCCTGTGAAACATTTCATATCACCAAAATCATATACATAACATATATTGTAGTGATCATTATCTCTTTATTAGCTCATGTACAAAGAATTCAGTGTAAACAATAATAACACGATATCATATAATAATGCAAATACTTTTGATATCTTTTATAGGCCCATATACATTATTGAGAACTCAAGGTATTTGAGTACATTGAGGTTGTGCACTATTGTTGTCACCACAGCTCGTATAAGTCCCACTGAGTGGCATATGAAATTTGTCCCGAAGGACCTATCCAGAGGTCATAAAGAACCTCGACAGCTGTCCATAGGTCCCGAATAACCTAGGTAAACTGTCTATATGTTCCTTA